ATGACACGTTTGCTCCTGTTGCCAAGCTCGTTACTGTTCCATGTCTCTTGGCAATTGCTGTCAAACGTGGTTGGTTCATTCATCAGCTCGACGTTAACAACGCGTTTCTCCATGGCGAGCTTTCTGAGGAGGTCTATATGCAGCTTCCGCAGGGTTTCTCTCGTCCTGGTGACACTCGCGTTTTCCGGTTACATAAGTCTATTTATGGTCTCAAACAGGCATCCCGGAACTGGTACCAGAAGTTCACTCAAGCTCTTCTCTCTGGGCTTCACCCAGAGTCGTGCTGATCACTCCCTCTTCACCTATCGCCGCGGTGCCACTTTTGTAGCGGCCCTCATCTATGTTGATGACGTTATCCTCACAGGTAATGACATGTCATTCATCCAGAGAGTCAAGGATTTTCTGCATGCACGTTTCACTATCAAGGACTTGGGCACCCTAAAATATTTCCTTGGTATTGAAGTTGCTCGATCACCTCGTGGCATGGTTTTGAATCAACGGAAGTACGTCCTCGATATCCTCGAGGAAGCCGGTCTCACAGCCACTCGTCCCAGTTCCACTCCCATTGAGCAGAGTCATCGTTTTGGCCGTGATCCCTCTGCTCCAGCATCTGATCCTGCCGCTTACCGTCGTTTGGTGGGTCGTTTGCTCTATCTCACTGTTACGCGCCCAGACATTACTTACGCCGTCAACATTCTCAGTCAGGCAGTTCATTCTCCCATTGAAGCACATGTCGATGCTGCAGCTCGTGTTCTCCGGTACCTTAAGACATCCCCTGGGCGGGGTCTTTTTCTCCCGGTGGCGGGAGATCTTTCCTTAACTGCCTACTGCGATGCTGACTGGGGCGGGTGTCCTACCACTCGTCGCTCCACTTCTGGGTATTTCATCACTCTTGGTTCCTCTCCTGTTTCTTGGCGCACTAAGAAGCAGTCAGTTGTTGCTCGCTCCTCTGCCGAAGCTGAGTACCGTGCCATGGCCAGCACCGTTAGTGAGGTTTTATGGCTTCGTTGGCTTTTGCGTGACCTTGGCATGGTTTTGACTCAGCCGACTCCCTTATACTGCGACAACCAGGCTGCTCTACACATTGCTGCCAACCCAGTTTTTCACGAACGGACCAAGCACGTTGAGATGGATTGTCATTTTGTTCGTGAACGGGTTCAGTCTGGTGATATTCAGCACTCTAAAATCAGCACTACTGATCAACCGGCGGATCTCTTCACCAAAGGGCTCAGTAGCGATCAGTTTCATCATCTTATGGTCAAGCTCGGAATGCTTGACATCCATTCCTTCGCTTGAGGGGGCGTGTTGTAATCCCTTCTTTGTTTGTCTTTAACATTTTAGGGATTACATTGTAATTGTCCACCCGAGTTTGACGTTGTAAGGGTGCGACATTCTCTTTATTAGGGCTGCGGGTGTTCCTTGTAAACCCTAAGCCAAATATCTCATCATCAAATCAAAGTCCGAGAGCTCACGTTCTCCGTGGAATAGTCTCGTCCATCTAGGACGGGGAAACCACGTAAAATCCTTGTTGTTCGTGTTCTTTATGTTTCGATAATTGTCGTTGTCTACAATCATTTATTTTAAAAAACAGTCTGGCTATTATAGCTATATAGAAGGATAGACAGAGAATCTATTTAATTACAGTAACTACAGGAATCCTATATGGACAATAAGTTAATGCATCGCTTTCAACAGTCCAATCAATAAATTGGGGATAAGTTTACTATACTATGAGTTAGAATAAAATGTTCATGTATAATTACATTAAATGGTTATTTCAAAATTGATGAAGTGTAAGAATACACTAAAAAAAGTATTTTACAAATTACACGACCATGACTCACTTTATATAAATGATATATTTAAATATCATTATTCTGAATAATAATTATAATGTTAGTATACCTGCAATTATATAATTACATAGTCAGAAAGAATTGAGTATTCCCAAAACAAAAAAAGAACCCAAGATATTATGAAACCTGACATTGCCGCTCCACATACCCACTACAATAAATGTGATCATTGCTCAGTACTCAACATTATTGTGCGAAAAAAACACATACGCAACATGACAAACTCGTCAATCTCATCGGTCGACTAATATTAATATGAATAGTATAATTATATATGTCGAAAGCAACGACTCACCATATTAATCAACGACCAGCAAGCATCTTAAAATATTGGAACAATAGTGGAGAAATTGATGAACTGGGACACATACAACAAAAAAGAACTCAATATAATGAATAGTAGTTTATGTGTATAGCTATAGGGAAGGTACATGAATATACAGTTTGTAAGAGAACAATAAAGGAAAAATCTTAGCCAGATGACGAACCATTTCATATTGACACAAATAAATTCTTACTGTTGGTTTCGCCCTTCTACTTTGCCATTGTCCACGTAAAGGAGATTGGTATTGATAGATAATGCCGACTTACCAATCTCCTAACAAAAGTAATCAATTACATTTATCGTACGACAACATTACAAACACACCTCACGAACTCATTACGACAATGCAAAATCGCAACACTCATTGTTCACTGAACACTCAATGAGTTCAAGAAAGCACACCAGTTCTACACTCATGGAGTCCACAACATGCCTGGTTAATACGTATTATATGTCCGATGCCTGTTTATATTCTAATGTTAGCATAATAGCAATTTAATTTGTCGTAACAAAGATGAAGTGAAGTTAATATTTTGATACCTTAAATTTAATTAAATTACAACTTAGTCATTATAAGTTATATTTTACATTTTTATACCCCAATTTAATTTTAATGTAAAATCATTGAACAATAATGTTTTGGTATCTTAATTTTATGAGATTTTCGTAACTGCAATTTTATACATTTGCATCCATGAATCCAATCCATCAAACCTTTTGAACCAATCCATGAATCCAATCCATCATAACATAAAGTATAAATTAGTTTGTAGCATACAAAATGTTGTATCACTCAACCGTGTGAGAAGATTCGATCATTATATATTTGCACATTACATACAACAGTAAAAATAAATGATAAAACATAGATTATTCTAAAATATTGCAAGAGCGACTTTAAAAACTCATTTAGTACATTTACGAGGAACTAACAAACTTATACTAACTACATTTAAAAAATTATGCGACATTTACATAAGCAAGTGTCAATAAATTGCTAGGGTGAAAAAGGGTTTGTTGTGGTATTAACGGCCAACTTAAAGAATTGATCAAAACCTTATCATCATCTACTTCCTCTTTGCTTCATTTTTCACTCGCCTTCCATAACCCTTTTTTTATTTCTTTCTTTGCCTTCTTCGTCTAACCCTAATTACTATACTATTTGTATGTATTCTAATCACAAGTATGAACGAGTCCATACAGTATTGATCAACAGTCTAGAGAATTAATAATTGAACCATATAAATAGGTCTAATTTTTGTATGTGTAATTGAAACACCCTCGAATAAATGGGTACTCATACCCAGATCATACACATTTAGATTATGAAAGTAAATATCCACACCCTGCCAAACCACATTTACAAACTTCTAAACTCATATATACGTCACTCATACCCTACTTATAATCAATGGCTCTACTTGGGTTTAGATAAATATCATTTATATAGTAACAAAACTACATAACGGGACACATAATACATGCCCATAGGCCATCTCCGACCCACAACAAGGCGCGGCATCACCACCTAGTAATTAATAAAAGTAAAAGACGGACATCTCATATATTTCAATAAACAACAAGATTAAAGAAACGAATGACAAAAACTACCATGGACCTCACCGCTAATTTATCTAGACGATGATCATCGTAACTATGAAATATCGGGTCAAAACACGAAATAGTGGTAAAACTGCTATATCAATTCATCACCGTCGATTTAAATAATAGGAATGAGATACGACCAGAAGATGGGTTACTAATTTACACAGACTGATTGCGTTTCCATTTTCTACCTATCCAAGTATCCATGGCCCTTTCTATAACTTACCCCAAAATGGTTTAAGCTCCAAAGGTGCAACGATATGCGAGCATGATCGATATACATCCCTTACAGTTTTTACTTTCTTCTTTAGTAAAAGCACCCTTCTTCTCTCATTAATTATTGTGAACTTCATGGAAGATGGCCGTTTCGACCCTGTTTGTCCTTTACATCTATATGTGAGTACCTGTATTTGATTTTCAAACTATGCTTTCATATTTAGAAAAATTATTAATAAAAAAATTAACGAAGTCAATATAATAATTTCAATATTTAAACTTTAACTATAAAAAGATAAATACATTTTAAAAATAACAATAGATTAGGAAATTTTCGCAATATCAAATAGTTTATCACACAAATGATAGATTATTAATAGTTCGGATTCCACAGCGGTATTTTCTAAACAAAAATTGTGCTTAATAGTTCATATGTCCAATCTTCAATGATGTTATTTTTCCTTGCCCCACTAATAGCACCTTATAACAAGAATTTACAAAATAAATAATTATTTACATCCTTAATTATATAAATTATCTACCACCGGTACCACAGCTCAATAAGTAAGTTCTTTGCAGTCCTAACTCTCGACTAACAAATAGATGAATGTTTAACGTGGATAAACAGTTGGCAAATTTAATGCCGTGAAGTGAACGACCTCCAGCTGATTCATATTGTGATCAAGGAACACCATCTCGTAATAGCAACTACAAATACTACACACAAATATAACACATTTGGTTATTACTAATAACAAAGAAGCATGTCAAACCATACATCCACCGTCCACTCATAAAATGGTTATAAAACCATATAACCACCATCCATGACAACATAAAGACAATGACGAGCAAACAAAATACACAATCCATAATTCACACAGGGAATCCATCCATAATTAAGGAATCACTGATTGAACAGTTTCTTTCTAGATGAAGAGTCCTTGGACGTACGTGACCTAACTCTCTTTGACATAATAGAAGATAAAAGCTCATCATCTTCACAAGACTCTGTATTATCCAAAGTGATATAGTCTGTAGTGCAGACTTGTCGACCTTTGTCCCAGGTCTAAAACATAGATACACATAAATGAAGGAAAAATTCTATCAAATATAATATAGGAACGGGCAAACCTAAAAACACTCACTCAAATGCGGGTAGTTGTATTTATAGTACACTTGCACGTGACGAAATATCCAGTACGTACAGAAATGGCAGCTAGCTCAGCCTGTTCACGTATGATAGGAGTCAAAGAATCTTCATTTCCAAACACAATAACAAGCTTGCAAGTAGAAACATCAAGTACACCAGTACCCAAGACATTCCCGTCTTCCACACACACTCCACATCAACCGTATCAACCTCTTTTCCTTTCGCCACAAGATTAGAACTACTGCTGTTTACAAAGAGAACAACAAAATAATAACCACGAGAATATATATAATCTGATAGCATAACAATATGCGAATCAACACATAATCAACTGTAGCCAAATTCAGATAATTAAGCACACCAAGAACAGACCACACGAAGATCGAATAATAATTAAATAAAGACGGAAGTACACCCAAACATCACAATGATACATTGACTACCATGAGCATTACTACACACACATTCTATATTAAAAAAACAGCTATAATATATACAGACAAATCAAATATGTATCATCACCTAGTTAAATTCACATGTCCTGCAACCGCAACCTCGTTATTCGAACTGGATGTACCAGGAGCCGAGAGGTACGTTTCAGCTGCACATCATCAAGTATATCAATGCCAGAAATACCAGTGACACAATCATTCAGGTAAACAATAATCCAATCATTCTAAACCACGCGGGATAATGAACACATAAACTCACAATGAAAACAATTCCTGGAAACGTGTCACTGTTGGAAAGACCACAATGCGTGTTGCCGATGTACTACCGACAGACATCTTATCCGAATTCACAAGAAAACATATGGTTGACCAACAATGTGCCAATAGTAAAATGAGAAGTAAACTAAAAAATTTACCTCGATATTCACTGACAGTCATCCCAGAAAAGGCAACAATTACAGGTGTTGCATTCCCGCCCTGACTCAAATGAGTAGCATTCAGCTGACCAGCGAACGCACCCCATATAGTAACAGAGATAGAGAACCCTCTGGATAAAATAACAACATAATAAACTCCATGTTTGCTAAAACACCAAGCATTTATTTTAGAACATACACAAACCTCTCATTCTCCAACACAGCATTTTGCTTGACGGTCAATCCATGTTTTGTAGATACATGGTCGATTTCTCCAATGGACTCAAGTCGACCACTAACATCTGCTCATATAAAAATTTGAAATATATAAACAACTCGTCAAAGACAATGAAAACCACAATAAAACAACCATTATCCTTACCGGCCAAGACAAAATTATTAGAAACGCGAGATCGAAGCTCCTCAAAATCAACAAACTCAAACTTTTCCAAACAGAAAGTTGGAGCAACATCAGATTCTTCTTCGAAAATTGTATTCCGATCAAACTCCACACACCAGTTACCAGAACAACCATTGTACATCGTTCTTGGAGGAATAATAGAAAAATTACGAACATTATAAACGTTGCCCTTACAAACAACAGCTCTAATCACATCAGTCAAATCAGGTCCAGCAACACATTGGACGAGCGTACCCTGAAAAAAACATGCACACAAGAGACAAACCCTTAGAATTAAAATAATCAATTGAAAACAAAAAAAAACTTAAAAAATAAGATAATAACGACATACTTTTTCATCCACCCACAAGCTTCTATGATCATAAACCGTACTCGAAACAACCAAATTAATAGAATTCCAATCATGCAGGAAACGTAGTTTCAAAACAACATTAACATTTGATTCTTTCAAATTCTTCAAAAAAACTGCAATTGCAAAACTTTCACTGCCAACAACCAAACGCAGCAATTGGACACAACAAAGAGAACCTTTACACTATGTTTTTATGAGAAGGAAAAGGAGGGGAGGGAAATAAATGAGTGGAAAGTAACAGAACCAATGCACTTTTCCCTATTTTTTAGTTTTGTAACAGTGATAAGGTGAAGGAAAAGAAAGGAAAAGGTTACTCTTGAACTCACCCCCCAAAACCGAGAGAAACTTCCCACTATCTACATTTTCATTTATTTTATTTGCCATCTCTTACCTCACTCTTTACTTTTCTGTATCTTCTTTTTTCTTCTCCCTAGGAATTATGATAGAGAACCAGAAAAACTTCTTCTCAACATGATGAGATAAATGTTGGGTTTTGGGGTTAGTATATGTATTTGTGTCAATGAGTTAATTAGTCTAGGGTTTAGTAGGTTAGTGGGTTATTAGCTTACGTGGGTAGTAATTGTGTGGGCTTAGTAAGTCTAATTAGGAGTCTACTTTAGTTAGCTTGTTGATTTGTGGTCAAATATAGTGCTAAATTCTATTTATTGTTGTATGATGTGGAAGTCACGTCGAAGCCACTTTAGAATTATATGTTGCGTCGTAGACAAAAGAGACTAATGCCTGTCAATATTAACGGTCTAGCTAAATTTCGAGTTTAATTTTTCGATTTCAAAGTGGATGTCATATTTGTTTATGTTCTTAGTTGCTATGTTGATAAATCAACAAAATAGCAAACAAAATTTTAATAAGTTGAATGATTTTTAATTGATTTAGAATCCTTGATCAATTATTATAAAGTCTCTATTTTAAATGATTGATGTGGTTAAATCACGATTTTTAAATAAACAAAGTCTCTATTTACATAACTAATAATAACATATTGATCACACTTCCCAAAACACACTTTACTTCCTACTTTCCTCCATAAAACAACACTTTCCTTCCAATTTCCTTCACCTCCAAATCTCCCCTCCCCTCCTAATTTTCCTTCACCTCCCCTTAATAAAGAATAGTATGTGTGGTCTGTATAGATTATTTACTCGGGGATCAAATAATTACTGCTAATATAACATACTAAGTACATGACTCATAATTTATCAAGAAATTTTTTAAGTTCTCAATAAATACTAAGTAATTTATGATTTTATCTTATGATTAGGCTTTGTTTGCTTTAATATGTATTTTAAAAATAATACATATTATCAAAACAAATTTGGAAAGTTGCTTGTAGGGTTCGTTTGGAGACAAGATTTGTGAGTACAGGTTAATTAAATCGATAGATTTATCATAACTTATTTTTTCCTGTTATAGAGTGGATTTTAGCATCAGATATTTCGAAATCCAAAATTTATAGACATATATCTTTTATACTTAGAGAGATTCTATAAATTGGTTTGCGAGATTTTTTGTTCCTCCTTCTTTATATCTTTTTATATTTGTCCCACCGAATATTATTACTTATTAGTTCTCAATTTTTTTAATCACTGTAATTTTGTTGGTTAAGACTACATCATATGCAAAAAATAGAATTATTTTTTCTATATGTTAACAATCACGGTTAACAAACAGTGAAATTTTTAAAAGGTATATTTTATAATTCGAAGAAGCAGAACCTTTCGATTGTTTACAATCCAATAAAATATAATCCAATTATCCAAGCGAGCTCTTATTTTTATTATAAATAGAGTCAAGTTATCAAAATAAATCCAAAAAAAAAAACTCTTGAATTTGGCAATCAAAATTAGAAAAAGTTACAGAATACTAACATCAAGCTCAATTCATAGTGAAGATAATCGTGCGCACATCAACACATTACTTTTGAAGACACGTGAATGATTTCCAACAACTATTAACATTCTGGTTAAATAACTAACTAGGGCTGGTAAACGGTATTACGGTTAACGGTTTAACCGGTAACCGTACCGATAACCGCGGTTACCGGTTAAACCGTTAACCGTTCCAAACGGTATTCGGCCATGGAAATTAAGCTGGCGGTATACCGAGATAAGGACGGTAAAACACCGTCGGCATACCGGTATTCCGATCCGAATGGAAAAGACATCAAGCCATCAATCAACCAAACGTCGGCCGCCCTAGCACCTAAGTAATTAACCTAGTCGGCTAATCCTAGTGGTAATTAGGAATTAGAAAACTAAAGTAAATCAAGCCATCTCTCTCCCGTGTCCCCTGCCGGCCGCTCGACGAGTCACGCCAATCTAACGCCGCCGATCAAAACTAGCGGTATCTTCGTCGTCCCCCGTCGCCGGCGCAAGCTGCATCCAAGAAACACGACCCAACAGCCCAGGGTGCATCATTCTCTCCGCCAAGCTCTGTTTCCATCAAGGCCTCGCCGTTGCCCTGTTCCCATCTCCGTCCCGTCGGAACTTATTCCCTCGACCCCACGCCCAATAGAATAGACAGCAGTTCCAGTTCGTCTTAAGTCTCATCGTCGATTTGTGAATTGTGATTCGTTTGGAATTATAGCTAGTAACTTTTACCTAGCTTGATTGATGATTCGTTTGATTTCTTTGTTTGGTGCTCTGGTCCTTTATCTTTTTCACTTTTTGGCATTTTCCTATCAAGAGAGATGGACACATTGCCACGTTGGAAGCAGAACCATGTGATTCTGTGATTTCTTTCTAGTTTGGTTCCTTTATAATTTTGTTTGCCATTTTCTTGTGAGAGAGGGAGAGGTGGCCGGTTGGACCCAATTCCCCAAATAAGAAAAATAAAGGAAGACAGTACACAGTCGGCAAAATTGTTTCTCTGTCAGTAACCCCAGTACCCCATCGAAAAGCAGGGGACAGTCTTGCCGCACCGTAGCACAAAATTTCCGCAGCCAAAGGCACTTTCGGTTAAACGGGAAACCGGTGCAAATACCGTAACCGTCCCATTCGGTAAACGGTGTACCGAAATAAATCGGTGGAGGTACACGGCAACGGCAATAGGAGATCCGGTATACTGGTAACCGGTCAAACAGTAACCGGTTAAACCGGTTACCGACCGATTACCACCCCTATAACTAACCATATTCGTCACATACATAATGGAGAAACAAAGCAAAAAAGTAAAAAGTCAATTCCCAAAAAAAAAACAATTCAAAAATGCAGATCATCGTTCACTGACAATAATATTAAAAACTACCCCAAAGATAAATTAAACAATAGAAACGCGTACTAAAAAACCCCATCCAACTGTCCTCTAGTTCTGAGATCTTATGATTGAAAAAGTCGAATTCTCCATCTGAAAAATAAAAATGCGAGATCAATAAATTGTCTATAGTCTAAAAAGTGTTAAAAAATTATATAACGAAAATTTCTACCCCAAGTACACTTCCCAACTTGTTGCGAAGAATGCAATATTCTCGAGTGACATGAAACACCCTAACCCGGCCGGGTACTACTTTTTCTAAAATGCCCTTGATAAATAAAATACTCAAATCTTAAATTGCAACTGGGAAAAAATTTTAATAAATAAAATACAGAAAACACACACTTGTAGTTCAGAGCAAAGCCCTAACATGTGGGGAAATTAAATTGATTCTGTGATTTATCACTACGCACTTACGCTTAATATCTTATTAATACTTGATCACTTTACTTAACTAAGTGGAAGTTGTTTGTACTTCCATTCTTAAAAATCTTAACTCTTAAAACTGTATGGGAGTAACTGTTACTCTCCATTCTTAAAGCTCAAATCTCAACTTAAATTCTTGACTGACACTAGGATCCCTCACTAGCTAGTCCGGTTGCCAACTCATATGTATGATAAGCCATCAAGGATTTCCTTAAACTTAAACTTAGTTAGGGAAGTCGTAATGATTCATCCCCCTAACATCTTAAACTTATCGTGGTGGCTCTTCACCACGATTCTCAAGAGCATAACTGCTGCTCATCTTAAAAGTCTCAAGAGCATAACTGCTGCTCTGTCTCAAAGATCTCAAGAGCATAACTGCTGCTCTATCTGAAAATCTCAAATGGCAACGGACTGGCGCTAGCGACTAAAAACACTGAAAACGACTTCACCTCCTTGAAGCTGAGTTACTTCTTAAAAAGAACTTGTTTCTTACTTTTTAAAATAACTTGTACTCGTAAAAATTTCAAAGTAATCAATAAACATTCACTTCAAGCACAACTCAAACAAAATCACCTCAAATAGCACAAAGTCATCTCAAACCGTAACTCAAGCAAAGCACAACTAATTCAATCATACACATAACCAAGCAACGATAACCAATTCGCTAAAGTACTGAAAATCATAATACTTAAAAGAATACGTAAGGCGTAGAATTTACCCCCTTTACACTCAACTTAATGTCAAGTCGATTGACTTGAACTAACCATCATTTGCTTATCCTCGTACTGCCAATGCATAGTCGTGACTCGACTTCCTTTCTTCACCCATGCCAAGTTAATTATTTGTTTGTCCTGTAGCAGCAGACTAAATCTTCACCATTGATGATACACGCCATTCTTTCTAACTCCACCTTTCATAACTAATTCCCACTTTAACACATCCATCATCATCACCATTCTATAATTAAGACCAACGCCACAAACATAATCCTTACCCTTTTTCTTACGCAAGCACGCGCTAGTCACTCATCCCCCTATACTCTCTCGGCTTCTATATATATACAAATACCCACGCAATCAACTGCCTGCAACCCAAAGCTAGCAGGGGGATTATTCATCTCCGCAACTTATATTCATCACCGTCGATGTCTAGCGAAAGGCCTGTAGAAGTGGGAAATGGACGTCCCAACCATTCAGAGAATTCCCTCGGGGTACATGATGTTTGATCGGCGGTTGGTGAGAGCGGCCGGGTTAGGGTTTTTGCGTAGGGGTGATGGGAAAAACACAATGAGGGCCGAGTGCCCTCTTGGCCTGTTCTCTTTTTTTTTTTTTTTAATAATAATAATAATAGTTATTATTATTATTATTCCTAATTCGCGGTTGCAATCTTAGTATGTAACCGTTAATCCAACCATTCACGATTTATGGTCGAACTTGCATCATTAGCAGCACGTATACTCCTGTAGAAAAAAAAAAAAGATGCAATAAGGAATGAACTATGCAACCCACAATCCTAGAAAATTGATCTGATACTTAAGTTATGCTGTGGGCTAACCTATCTCTGTTTCTGTCAATACATGCTTGAAGAAGTTCGTCACAAACAACCTTCAGTCGACGTGCCCCAATGCTATAAATACAAAACAATACAAATTAAACTTTACAGCACACACCAAAACACCTGTGAAGAAAATAAACATAAGAAAAAGTTCAAGATCCCGACGTGCAGCTACTGCCTCTAATTTGATGCAAGGATTCTTCAATTTGAGAAAAATTCACGTCAATAGCACCTATGCAAAATACATGGACAAAAAAATAATAGCCAGTGTATTGAATTTCGGAGACCAAAATAACTTAGATAAATAGACGGGATTACAATACTGGGAATGGAAAACAGGCAAATATCATACAAATCCCTGTTGATTTCCCTGATGATCCTATCACCATCGCGATAGAAAGAACTGATAACTTCAGTTACGAATTCAGGATTAGTAGCATATTGGAGAGCATGAACTTGGGAAAACTGATTGTCCAAAATGCCCTTCAACACAACAAGAACTTACAAAGATTGGAAAAACGAATAAATGATAGAACGAGAAACTAAACCAAACAAAGTCGCGTACCTCATCTACCATAGATTGCACAAAGCCTTTTAGCTTTCTCATGCAAGAAAACAATGACATTTTGGTGTTTCAGATTCGCAAACGAAGTGTTTTTTTACTGCAAATAGACAGATGGGTTACTCTGAGATACAATTCAAGGTCTCGAGCAAAATGTACATTATTATATAGCAATACGTAGATGAAATTGGTCATCCAAATAAAGATGAACGATTTGACATATTCGATAAGATACTTTAATCAAATAATTATAGCCATTATTTTTTTAACCCTAGCCTATATAGTCTTTCCTATGTCGATCATAGACTCACATCGAACAGTAGCAGTACTTTTTACATGAGATGCCTGATAGCTTCCCCGACATACTTGTTTCTCTTTCTTCTTTACATCCTTTCCTCTGCTATTTCTTCTCTTTCTCTCCCCCCCATAGATGCGATCATTTTGCACTAACTTTACTAAATTATTTCATCATTACAAAAAATAGCTACCACAATAAGTGCACCACAGGCACCCTTGTCGACCACGCAAAACCGACAACCCATATAGGTCTAAATCTACTTTTCGATCCATCAATATTCGTTATAATGTTAAAGTATGCCAGAAAAACATCCTTCGTAGCAACTTCGACTCTTTTGTTTGAAGCCTTATAGATATCCAGTCTTTCATCCAATGCCTTGAATTTGTATATACCTAATTTAACATGATAGAGGCTCCTGGACTCGACTCGCATTCATGCTTCTCGAATTGAGCTCCAAAATAGGCTTCACAAACATGTTTCCAGACTTGGCCATTTCCAGACAGTTTCCCAGTTTTGGCATAGCCTTATGATGAGGTTAAAAAATGGTCTTCTGGACTTCCTATCGAGCTCTCTTCCACTTCAATATGTAGAGGGACACTCCAGCTTCAAAACAAGTCATTAGTCTTCAATTTCCATCTAGCCAATTGTATGATATGTATATCTACAGTAGGCACCATGAACTGCTTTTACACTGAAACAACATATTAGGTCGACCTGATCCTATATGAGGTAGACCGAATCCTAAATGAGGTCGACCAGATCCTATATGAGGTCGACCGAATTCTAAATGAGGTCGACCTAATCCTAATTGAGGTCGACCGGAAAGTGCAAGTCACCATGACATGCATGTCACCGTATGCACACCCTAACTTTTAACGTGACCATCCACAATAAAACTCAACTACAACTCTAAAAGGAGGATCATCTCCTAATACATATAACATTTGGTAAAAAAAATGCCATAAAAAAACAAGGTCACCAATTTAGACAGAAAACACACAACAACAACCACTTACAATGTAACACATAACAAAAACACACAACCAGAGTGAACGAGAAATTACATCAAGATAGTACCGTCTAACACGATTGATCATCTGGATACCATGTCTAAGTCGACGATAAAGATATAAACAATGGATCCCATATACAGCATACACGCACTTTAGGTGAAACTGATCTTGGTTAACGTTGAAGGAAAATCTCTATAGTGACAAGCTTCCCTTCAAGGCGTTTAAAATATTCAATCCGCTCATCGAGACTTAGTAAACAAAACTCTTGAACCGGCATCCGAAACAACATTGTAAGTGGAGAAGATTCAAAAGTAATTCCGCAAGTTGCAGTGGCATCTCTACAATAAATGATACTCTTAAACCTAAAACAGTCAAAATTCCTATTAACAAATAACAAAAAAAAAAGGATACGTTGAAAAAATTGTGCTTGTTCAGGATATTGTACCTCTACGAACCATTCTAATCAAAACAGACCTCCTTATTAGGAGGAATACTAACAATTCGAACCAAGCACAATTAACGTTTCTGAAACAAGAAAAAATCAAAATACAACATCACGCTAACCCATACAAAATCAATGTAGGATCAGGAAAAAATGAAGTCCCACGTGGAATAATCCCAATCAGCAATAATTAAAATAAAAAACCTGAAAATCACCACACTGGGTCTCGTACAACAAAGCCAACTTATCAAGAGTCAGCTGAGAAGGAAGTGGACCACAAAGGAACCTAAGAGGATGGTAAGGTGATTCCTCAATTTTTATAATCGGCAAATGTTCGTCGAAAAACCTGCTCCCAATATAAAATTCATCATAAAATATAGCACTAATAGACCGTTACAAATATTAAAATACACCACCTACCGATCATATAGTGTCCTATATCGATGAGTGTAATCACCATAGATAATACGACTGCCTGGAGTGCTTGTTAGAACAAGAGAGTCTGAAATCAAATTAACAATAGTATCAAAGTACATCATATCACAAATGCGAGCTAACAACATATTAAAACCAAATGAGTCCTCCAAACAAACAAAATAAACGATAAAGTACACTTTTATCACAAGATGCACAATAATTCATCTAAAAATAATATAAAAAATTATGTTGCAACAAAAAAATACAATAGTATGTACAAAACAACTAAAATAACTAAAAACAAAAAACAATATATGCAATAAAATAACCATATATCCTAAGACGTACCCAGGTCATCTGATTTAGTAGACTTCGCAACCAAAATGCTAGTAAAGGTAAGCACAATTGGAGATAA